CTCTACGATCGTGACTGACTGAACGTAGGCAGAAACGAGACTCTGAAATACTTGAAGGATGTCCTGAGGGACTCGTCCAACAAGAGGACAGAAGTTGTCTTGAGCAGAAAGACGACAATTTTTCTGAGCTGCGCCATCGCTTGAGAACGCCTGCTTTCATGGTTTCCGCACATGTTAGCTGATCGTGTGTAGTTATCCTGCCAGCTCTCTGCATATAGCTGGCCAACCATCACAGTTTCTAGAGCCTAAACCGATTTGTTTTCTGAAGTTCTTGACGCCCCTAGTTCTCAAGTTCAGCGTGTTTGTTTTCAGAGGGAGACTCTCTGCGGTTGGTGGCGCTCCCAACACCTCTTCTTTCAGCTCTAAGTTAATGCCCATCTCGTGCCCCTCGTCTGACCCGACGCTGTGCCCAGCTAATCCTAGAAAGCTAACAGTAAACGCGCCTTTCCTCATTGCATCTTTTATATGGTCCGGCCATTGGAGCATGTGAGCCAGATGACGTGGCAGCAGCCGCTGATAGTGTGTCCGGTCCCAAGCTCGGAACAGGGGTGCTAACCGCTTCAACGCTGCGTTTCGCAGGTCCCTGTTGCTCGTGCGGATTGCGAGCCACAGGGCCACGTACGCCCAACCGTCCTCGTGCACGAAGCGCCACCAGAACTGGAAGGTTTTGCTCCGCTGCGCGACCTCAGCACCCCAGAGAGATACTCCTGCCACAGCTCCCTCATATTGTCCGCGCCTGCTTTGTCAAGGGTCGCCTGGATGCGCCACTGGAGCTCCGCTTCCTTCCGTTCCGCCTCTTCGTCCGTTCCGTTGAACGCCTCGCAAGTGCGGTCGCCAAACACCCTGTAGAATCACAGTATGTGCCTTTGCTCGAAGGAATTCGGATAAATTAATGTCCCAGCAGTTGCAAACGTATGGCCGAGATTCTGACTAAAGCGGACAGAAGCATGAGTGATCCAGAGAGCAGACTGGTGTGAATTGATTGCAAAAGGGAAGCACTGGCCCTCAGATCGTGCTGTCATGTCCCTTTGCCAGAAGGGAATGCGAACTGCCTGCAATTGTACCTTCCAAGTTTTGGTGTAACTCCCTTGTACGTGAATGACCATTTCAACACCACTGATTGCAAACACCAAGTGTTGGGTCCTGTGTATTACCTGCTCGGGTCCGCTAAGATCTCGTCCAATGTCGGGCTGTCGATATCGTAGTTTTTCTCCTTCAAAAAGACTAAAAACAGGGTCCGCTGACCCCCCTCCCAGCTTTCTACAATGAACCAGTTATTTCTGCGGAAGTTACTGCTTTCTTCTAGCGTTCCTTTGACCGAACCCTCGACGTAGCCAAATTTTGTTGCCATCTCCTCTAACCCCGCGTGGAAAAATATTTTTTTTATCACTGGTTGCGCGTTGAGCAGAGTGTGCCAGTCGCCAGGCATGTGCAACACCCAGCTGAACAACTCCGTGTGCTCCATTTTCAAGTCGTCCATGTATTTCCACGTTTGCTGGTCCCCTACAACAATCAGGTGTTTAAACCTCTTCTCGACTTCTAACTTCTCTTTCATCCGAAAAAGGGCTTCCGCGACCTGCTCTTTGTTGCTGGCTTTCAAATCCCACGTTGCCACGTAGACCACCTCTGGCTTTTCCGGAACCACTAGGTACCGTGGGGCTACGAGCGAGGTCGTCTTGCAAGGCCCGGCGCGGCACTCCCAAAGTTGCAGTCCGTTCTCGCTCGACAATCAACCCAAACATCTCCTCGCTGAACCGCTCTGCTGCCGCCGTTTCCTGTGCAGTGAGGCCGAGGACGCGCTCTGCCGTCACCCCGGCGTCTACGAGGTCCGTAAAGAAGCCCTGGTACCCCCCCGGCCGATTGTTGTTCCACGGATCTCCGGGTAAGCTGAATTCCGTTGTCCCACTGCTTGCTCCGCCCGGTTCTTTGCCTTCCGTTAGGGTTCTGGCTCGCAGGTTTACTTTTTCCTCGGTGCTACCAGAGGCTTTCGGTGTCGTTCCGCCTAGTTCCAATTCGTCGATTTCGGGTTGAAGGGTGTCTTGGGGCGTTGTCAAAGGGTTGCCCGAAGGGTGGAGCTTAATGGACGGTTTGCAGTGGATCTGGCATGTTACCACGTGCATGTCGGGCACTGTTTTGTCGAACCGACGCAGGGCTCTGATGGCCGTTTTGTCTGCGTTGTCGATGCTGCAAATTATGAACGATCCATCGCAGCTTGGCGGAAGTTGCGCGAAGGGCCCCTCCGCCATGATAGCGGACCCCACGTTTTCTGTGTACCGGTTCAGCGTGTCTTTCCCGGCACAAACGCCCAGCTGATTCAGGACTCTTAGGAGTGTAAGCCGGCCTCCCAGGGCCTCTACAACGTCGGCAAGCAGTAGATGGAAGGGGTGCTTGGCCTCGGGGTTGATTGCAAAGATCAACACGTTGATTGCATATAGAACCCGCAGCCTTCGCCGCTCAGTGTCGTAGTTGTCTTGGACCCCCGAAGTTGGCTGGCCCCCCGCTTCACCTCCCCGTTCGCCTTTTCGTTGCGCTGCTACCGCCGTCTCGTTAAGCGACAAGTTGAGGAAGAATTGGAGGAGCTGGGGGTTTGTTTTCTTGATTTCCTCCTCTAGGTTAAAGTTCTGGATTTCGAACCCCCGTTGCTGCGGCGACTTGTAGTTAATGGCCCGTCGGCGCTGCACCTCGTTCCTCAGCAGCTCGTTGACGACCTTCGCGCTTTTCTCGAGCACCTTTCCGCGTGCGGCTTGTTGTGCATCATGAAGCTCCTTCCGCAACGAGTCCACCTTGGCCCGAAGCCCCTCATTGTCCCTCCGCAACCTGTGCCAGTTCTTGTGCAGGACCTCGACGAGGGGGGTGCTTGCTGGATAGAGGAGCGTGCCGAACTGCCCTCTCATGGTGTGCCACGCAACAGGCAAGTTCGCTCCAACCCTCTCCACGAGCTCTTGAATTTGCTCCGGGCGGACCCCAAACTCCCTTGCCATGTCAGCTTTCGTCGTGATCTCCCCGAGAGAAGCGAGCTGCTCAAGCCTTCGAAGGATCCCGGCTTCTTTGTCCGCTGTGACAATCAAAAACGAAGATTGTCAGCCATTTTGTATCCGTTGTACAGTCCGTCCATGCAGAAAAAGGGCCCAATCCGTATGAATTACGTTTCAATCTGATCACAGTTCCTCTCCAAAATCAGTTTGTAGCTTGGGATGAATTGAGCAAGTGAAGAATTTTGGTGGGCTCAATCTGCTAAAGGATCTAGTAAGCATTTTGGTAGCTGATGATGTACGTGTCAGGAAAAGCTTCTTTTGACTCGTCGATTGACCAGAGAAACTGAAAAGGCAGAGGTTCTAATGGTATTGGGCAGCAGTCTGGTCGCTTTTGCAGTGTTCGACTGAGTCACTTCTGCATTTTGGAATGCCTACTTTTCGAGAAGGACCTCTTTTCCGTAGCAACAGTTTTCTTAGAGCACCGGACAATCTGTTTGTGTGCAAAGAGGGTAGTTACCTGCAAGCGGGGCCATCTTGTGAGCTCTCCTTTCTGGCTCCTCCTCACGAAACGCTCGGCGTGTCCCCTCTTCAGCCGCGCGTGGACCGGCGGGGTCATTTTGCTGTTTTGGATTCTGTTCGTTCGCTTCCCACTCGTCCCAGCCGGCTCCTCCTGGTTGCAACACGGAAAAGGGGTTCGTACGACTGCCTTGTCCTTGTCGAGGCTCTTGTCTGCTCCGTTCCTCATTATTCTCTGATGCCCGGTTGTCCTCACCCCCCCGGGCCGGCTCCGCCGGCTGCCCATCTGCTGATGCCCGTGGCAGGTCGCTAATTCCACTTCTGTTGTCTCCTGCAGCTTCTTCAAGTTCCTGTCCCAAGGCCCGCCCCACCCCAACTGGTCTCTGTGTAGGAAGGAAAGGTTCAAGTTCATAAGAGTTGCAAAGATTATAGAGTTGCCAGTTTTGCAAACACTTACCGTTCCATTGTAGGGTACAATTTGCAATTTGTCAACATGTGACAGGTCTGGGACGCTGTAGTTGTCAGCAGCCCTATGGAGAACATTGTGTATCAAAATTTGATCAACCAGTTCCGAGTCAAGTATCAGACTTGCACTCATTGAAAGCGTGCTCTCAATCCACCCAGGCCCACACTCGAATGTGCACATGCAAGCATGACACAACCTAAGCCTGGAAGCAGTGCCCTTTGATATGATCCGATTGTGATCTCCAAACTCCGTGATGGGATATGTTTGAATGAGATGCATTGGATTGCCAAGGAGCGAAGCGATTTATTTGAACTACGTTGGGTGTGCCTGGTAGCTAGATGATTAAGCAGATTGTTAGTGCCTGGTAGCCTTAAGAGAACATGCCCTAGAATGATGCGAGGCTTGATTTCAGCATACCTTGCGCAATCTGTTGGACCGCCGCTCGGTGTCAGTCAGCTCCCTGTCTGTCCGCTCATCTCTGGCCACAGCGTCCTTCTCAGGAGTGACACCAGCCGGTGCGTCTGCCCCCCGTTTCCTCGACCGAGCTTTGCGCACCACTTGAAATCCGAGTAAAGACCTCTCAGCCTCGACAATGTCCCTTTCCCTGTCAATCTGTTCATCGTGTGCCCTCCCTTGCCACTGAGCATGCGATGCAAGATCAGCATACTCTTGCTGTTTGCGGATCTCGGCGGCAATCTCCGCTTGCGTTAGTTCAATGTCAGGCTGATCGTATGCAGCTCTTGCCGCCATGGAGCCACTTTCAAGGGCAGCCCCATCGACGTCAATGCCGTCTGAGCCAAGTTGGGGCTCAGGTTCAACAAGACTGGCATCTTGAAGCGGCTGGTCGCCAAGCTCAACGTTTGCCTCCTCGACAACATCACTTGACCAGTGGTTACCAAGAGTAGGACCCAAGATTTCACTGCACAGCTCGGTCAGCGTTGTACTTGATGAGCAGAGCTTTCGGAGTACTTCAAGCTTAGATGCCTTCTCCTTAAGTCCAAAATGTTGCCTTGGCCGGATGTATAGCTCTTTTTCTTTCTGCTCTCTCTCTTTACGAGATTGAGTATTTCTCTGCTCAATTGTCTCTCCAGGGCGTGTCCCAGGCATTTTTGCAGAGCTTTAAACACACCGGCTGTAACGATTACGACTGGTTAAGCCTAACCTCGTTCTCGACAGGATTTCGTTGACCGCGAGTTAGCGAAACGGCGGTGGTTACGTCTTAACGACGCACTGCGTAGCTGTCTGC